AGGCTCCTTAGTGATCCAAAGAATTTGGAATTTGTAAAACTACATCACACTGTGGCCAGTTTTGTGTTTCTGGTCCTTATATGCTCGAGTGGTACCTAGTGGCACGGCTACACTCGGTAGTGAATCATTCCTTTCTAATGAAGTCTCCTTATTCACGCATTGCATCCTCCATAGACCACTGCAGGGCTAACACACGGATCCAAGGCCGTGAAACTGCTCATAGTCAGGCGATAAAACATTTCTAAAAACATTTTATCCCAGCAGAGGATTGTTCAAAGTGTTGCAAGCTTTCTCTCCCTAATATTACAGTCTCATTCATATACACGATTATAAAACTCCTTAACTGAAAGAGACGTCGGAATGAAATCGAAACGCTGCAGAAATTTGCGCAGTGGATTCGTATTAAACTTGCAGTGACAAACTGGATGCGGATGAGGAGCGAGCGACAACAAGCTGACAGCTCATAGATGATCGAGGCTGATAGGGCCTCGTCCATCCCATGTGTTTCAGTCGGCTGGCTGCACTCCGAGCTCTGAGGTGAGTCCTTTGGTGGTGTCTGGTTATGAAACGCTCCAACTTCACTTCCCTCATGCAGAATTGTGCTTCCTGAGCGACGGCAGCATGAGTTTTTCTTTGTTCACATTCTTTGGCACTTTCTGCACAATACTGAGAATGTGAAGCCGTTCCAATATAACGAACAATCCTCCGCTCCTGCTATTTCAATCATCAACAATGTCACTTAACAGAAATCTTCCAGTATTTTGAAATTTCAAAAACTGCGCTAGATGGTAAACATACATATATACCATTTCCACTCCAAAGTGGACCTTATTCAATTGACTCAGGACTTTTTTCATTTCGACCCGGCTTTTTTTCAATGACCTGTGGACATTTTTCATTTCGACCCGGCTTTTTTTCACTGGACCGTGGACATTTTTCATTTCGACCCGGCTTTTTTTCACTGGACCGTGGACATTTTTCATTTCGACCCGGCTTTTTTTCATTCATTTAGGACACTTTTCAAAACATTGGTGAGATTTTTCAGATCAAACTGGACACATTTTCTAGAATGTCAAATAACATTTTTCGCTGAAATTTGACTGAAAATTGACGGATGTGCTGAGATGTTCAAATCCTGGAACAAAAACTGAAAATCTCTCATTGGAACTCTAATCTGCCCCATACACGTTTGTTTCAGCGATCCTCTTTTCTTCATCGAACCTTCTCTAGGATCGTCCCGAGTATTTGAATCCCTTCCCTTATGCGACCTTGTTCTTGCAATGTTTCTGTCTCAAGGGATCAATACGCATACAATGGTGAACGAAAGCGCCAAATGTGATCAGGGGATGGCTGAGTCATTCAGGAAAGTGTAGGAACGGTGACGGAGCAGGATTGTGCGAGTTACGTCCTCCACATGATGGTAAATTTGACGACCGCGGCAGCTGGACAGCCCTTCGTTAATTGAACTTGTTGATTTTGTTCCCCTTGTGTTCGGTTGTAGAGAAATGACCATTTGTTTCACTCGAAAATGTAGTATTTCTTGACCAAGAAGGTTTCCCGGATATTATTGTTTTTTTTTGCGAATTGTTGTTTTGATGTTGAAAAGAATTACCGACCGAAAATGAAGGTGGTTACGCTTCATTTGAGCGGTGTCTGGCTTGAAATGAAAAAAATCCATCTTGAATGAAGAATGTCTACGGTCATTTGAAAAAGATTCAAGTTGAATTGAAAACTGTCCACGGTTCATTGAAAAAAAGCCGGGTCGAAATGAAAAACGTCCTGAGCTATTTGAAAAATCTCCGGGTCGAATTGAAAAATGTCCACGATTTTTTGCAAAACAGCAACTTTGATTTGAACGATGTCCATTTTCAAGTGGAAATGGTATAATATAAGTGCAATCACTTCCGGTGACGGTTCATTTGAGTCGGGCTTAAATGATTCAAGTTATTTTTAACAGGCAGTCTTCTCGGTGTATTTTTTATTGTGTGAAGTGTGGACTGTTTCAAAGCCAGAGGGATGGAAACGCAACATACCTCAGCATGTACCGGCTGTCTCCGCAATATTCACGCCAACCTGATGTTTTGAAATGAGACTTTACCTAACAAACTTCATAGTGCTGGTTTCTCCAAACACTGTAGTGGTTGCGACTTCCTTTGTTGCGTTGTCTGGACTGACAAAAGTGTTCTCATGACCCTCTACGAGTAGATAGCGATCTCTCTTAGAAGAAACGAGCGGCTGTTGCGTTTGTCTGGCTTTGACGCCACGCTTCATAGGTCAGGCGCCAGAATGACAAAGAAATCTCAAACACGTTCCTCTTCCAAGGCCAACTACCGACCTCTTCTCAAGTTCCCCAACTATGTACTTGATATCTTACCGTTCCTGAAATATTTCGTCAATTCAGGATGAACCTATTATGGAAACACCAGAGATTCCTTATTCTTAATTCGTTGAAGATACGCAGGAATAGTGCTCACACCATTCAAAATTGAGATCTCCAATATGGCCCACTCTGAACAGATCCAACACGACTTCCAGGTCCGCATGTGTGTAAGTCCATGAACGGACAAGTTTATTGATAGGCTCTAGCACTCTTCGGAGAGGGACTTTGGTGCGTAACAACATTGAGATGGCTATATGGACACAGATGTGCTGGAAGACGGTATGTGCCTCTACAGAAACGCTCCATCACTGAGCAGTGGTGGAAAATCCTGAATTAATAAACCTCATGAGAAATGTAAATCCACTATGAGAGATTGGGTTGAAACATATTACCGTAACGTTTTTTTTTTCGAGGTACAAATTAAGTGAATACAAGTATTGCCCAGGAAATTAGATATAGCGTTATAGCGTTTGAAAGTACTTCTTCCACTCTACGATCTTGTTTGCCATTTTCTTCTTCATTGTAAGTGTACTCACAAGGGAGGTCGTTCAGGGTGTGCCAAGCTTTTTCAAAACGGTCTTTGCATGACATAGGGGCACATGTGGGAACCACAGAACCATGGTTCATTTTTCCTGAACGGCCCTCTGAATACCAGAAAAGGGGTCCCTAGTTCGATTCCTCGTGGTGACAAATTTTTGCATTTCGAGTTGACGTTTCAAAATTCGCGCAAAATGAATAATTAGTACCATATTCATGATTAGGACCGTCAGTAACCCTTACAAATAGACTTTGATTGAAAAACTGGTGAAAAAGGTGTGACTAGGGACCCCCTTTTTCTGGTATTCAGAGGGCCGTTCAGGAAAAATTAACCATGGTTCTGTGGTTCCCGCATGTGCCCCTATATCATGCAAAAGACCGTTTTGAAAAAGCTTGGCACACCCTGAAAGACCTTCCTTGTCAGTGGGCGTTTAGAAGTTGAAAAATCAAGGTGGGCGAAAATCTACGTAACGAAAAAAGCTGCCAAAATAGGAGTTTTCAGAATCCATCGTCATCATCGAACCTCACTCCAATCGACACCTCAATTTCAAGTAATATTTTACAAATTAAGAATGAAAACAAGCCCAGTAGCTTTTTTAATTCTAAATCCGGTGATTTCTTACGAAATGGAGTCAAAGTCGTAAAGTAAGGTTTTATTTGGCTTTGCTTTAAAATTTTGTTTCTAACGTTTTGTCGAATGCAAGCACTACGATATTATGTTCCAATCCAATAAAATTTTTGGATGGGAGGGTATCCTTGGATTTTTTTTGCCTGAACGTAATTATGGACAGGCATGGGAGTCGAATTAACCTTTGACATTCAAATGCAGTAGTTGCAGAGGACGCCCCTTCCGCTGCTGATTAATGATACCGATGAAAAGTGTGATAGACTCCTATTTTCAGTACAAACGTAAGCATACATGCGCTGAGAACTTGATAACGCGGGTTTCATGTAACGACAACTGTGGTGCGTAACCGATCCAATGCGTGGTCGCATAAAAGCGTTAGGAAGTTGATGTTTTTGCCAGTTCTTTCAAAATGGACATCGAACAGCGCATCAAAGCCTATCGCTTCGTCGCCTATGCGGCCGTCACATTTTCGGTGGTCGCCGTGCTTTCTGTTTGTCTCACTCTACCGATGGTCTACAACTATGTAACTCATGTGAAACGTCAGATTAACACTGATATCACTTTCTGTCAGAGGACTGCCAAAGACATTTGGTCTGAAGTAAATGTTCTTGCTGTACAGCCATCTTCGAACAGAACTGCCCGTCATGCATATGCCACTGATGATGCTGGAGTGAACGGTGGTCAAACTGGTGGCGGTGGATGCGCTGGATGTTGTAATCCAGGTCCCCCTGGAGCACCTGGAACTCCTGGTAAACCTGGTCGCAATGGCAAGCATGGAGCGCCCGGAATCCCAGGAAATCCCGGCCGCCCACCACAGACACCATGCGACCCTCTCACGCCACCACCTTGCAAGCCTTGCCCAGCTGGACCTCCTGGACCACCTGGACCACAAGGAGTACCTGGAGATCCAGGAACCGATGGTCAACCTGGACAACCTGGTAACAGTGCAACACCTGGCCCACCTGGTCCCAAAGGACCTCCCGGTCCCGACGGTAGACCTGGTACACCAGGAGCTCCTGGACTACCCGGACAAGACGCTGCCTCGGAACCAGTTGCTCCTGGAGAGCCGGGACCTGCCGGAGAACCTGGCCCACAAGGACCTCCTGGACCTGATGGCCAGCCTGGATCTGATGGACAACCAGGTATGTCTTATCACCACATCTATAGAAAGTAGCAGTCTTCGCTTTCAAATAATTGAAATCTTTTCAGGACAACCTGGACCTAAAGGACCTCCAGGACCTGATGGACAACCGGGAGCTGATGGAAATCCCGGAGTCCCAGGAGATCCCGGACCATCTGGAGGTAGTGGCGAAAGAGGAATCTGTCCGAAGTACTGCGCTATTGACGGAGGAGTTTTCTTCGAGGACGGCACGCGCCGTTGAAAATTTCATTCTCTTCGCGTCACTCATCTCTCATCCATGGCATAATAAATAATATACAAAAGAATACTTGACGCATTGGTGTATATGTATGATAACAACGATCGGTTATAATTTTGCAGATTACATTCTATGACCGAAAATTACTGAAAGGAGATGGGCTTTCAATGCAAAATCACAATGCATCATTAATATAATTAGAATCTGAAAAGACTACACTATTAGCTGATACTTTTATAGCTGGGACATTTGAAAGGTGGTGGATGAACATTTGAGACAAGGCGGATCTTAGTGTGAACGTCCTAACGAACATACTGCAATCTTCAGACAACTCAAGTTTGAAACGATTGCGAGCTATTGCTCAACATTGGGGAGAACTCTTGTGAAAACTTGATTGTATCCACATGTCCGCCTACATCTGGGTCTCTGTACAAAGGATACATCCAGTACCGTCACCCTGCTCCCCTGCCCATCGTGATATCCCACTAGGTGAACGACTCACAACGGAAGGTGCGGTTCAGGGTTGGTTGAAAAGTTTTTCAAAAAACGGTTTTTTACAACTCTAACATTGACCTGCAATACTGTGTCACATGGTTGCTAAGGCGACCCCATAGAGGCCAAAAAAGGGTCGAAAAAATTTGTTAGGAATGAGTGGTTTTTACAGCCTTGCAGTGACGTTTCGAGCTTGTAAAGAAGATCACCTGCATACTGGAGGGTAATGATCACGTTGGTATCGGAAACAACCTTGAAATCGCATGAAGTACTGTCATGATTGCTGAAGAAAGTGTGAAGGGTTCATAAGCTTCGTCGGTTTCCTACACTTCAGCAGAACACGGCGCATCAAGGGCTGCGTGGTGGACATCGGGTTCGTGACCGGCAAGAAGAGGCGTGTGCGGTTCGACCTGCCACTTCACGGCCAGTTTTGCATTCTTTTAAAATTTCTCCTCTAAATCGACGTTAGATTGGTTCTGCGTCAAAATGAAGGCTATATTCACATCAGGACATCAGTAGTTCCTGCAAATGGGTTTTCTATGAAACAATGACGGAAAAGGCAGCGCCAAAACTGGCCCCGAACTAGCGAAGCGACTCCAAAAGAAAGAAGCGTCATACCGTAATAAGTACCCGTCGTGAGTGTACCCAAGACCAAAAGGGAAAATCGGTATTGAGTAAACCATAAGTTTTGAAAATGAGTGGAGACCATAGCTGATCGATTTAAGTCGTCGTGGCCACGGATGGCTGGGGCGTCGCGACTTGAAGACGAGCGTGGCGCCGAAATCAAGCGGAATGCTCTGATGATTCACGGAAGGCAAAACTCGCTTCCATAGGGAAAGTCTCCCACCACGTCGCTGCTCTAGAGATCGCTCAGTATTCAAAATGAAGTCCCGGAGGAAGAGGGAAGCAGCTGAGGACACAACACACAGGCCTTGATGGACCGAGACAGAATTTGCCATCTGAACATCATGAAATGCATTTGAGGTTCGTGTCCCGTTGTCTATCACAGCTTGGCGCGTGGCTGCCATTGTCCAGGTTCAGCAGATAGGTCTTCTATTATTTTAGGAGACTCGTTTTCAGGTCACCGGCGCGAGTATGAACTAAATATCAACCAATTGAGGATCAATTGTTCTCTCTGATTTAATGTACGTCTTCTTTGGAACTCCCAATTCAAGGAACATCGAGTGCACTGATCACGAATATTATTACATCAGTTTTCATCGACAGCTCAAATTTACGGCGCCATTTGGGGCCCTGCTGGCGCTGCAGCTTTTTTCTGCCAGATTCTGGTAAACATTCGAGTATCTACTGATAATCTTGAGGACATGAACACTGGATACAATGTATGTACTTGGTGCTGGCGCTATTCGAAGCAATTTGGAAGCTCCAACCAAAAATGCAAAATTTTGTCATCAAAAGAGATCGAACCATAGACAACTTTGCCATTTCTTGAAATGTCACAGCATGATGTGCGATGTAGAATCCGCTGTCTTGCTGCAGCGCGACGTACCTCCTGTGGGTACGAGATAGACCGACAGATAGGCTTGAGAAATGCAGAACTTTGCGCGTTCCAGCCGCGGGGGGAGGGGGAGGTAACTACAGTTTTTCCAAAAGTTGAAACCCATGGTGGGCAGGGTCGGTCCTATCGTTGCTACTTTTCGAAAAATTTTTTACGACCCCCTCCCCCAAGGTGGATTTGATACGACCCCCCTTTTCCCTACCTCCACCATCTCCATCTTCCATCATCAAAACCCCGCCCACTTTTTCCTCCAAAAATCCAAAAATGCCGTCGAGCGGGGGGGGGGGTATATAGTCACTCTGAAACGGTAAATATCGTTAAATATCTCCGAAAATTTCCTTCTATTTCCACCATTTCAACCCATTTTTACCTATACTCCCACTACTTCCTTTTCTAGGGGGGGGGGGGGGGGGAAGCGACACCTTCCAAAGCACACTTTGTTGACTATGGAAATTACTACGATTCGCTTGTGTATTCATAGAAAGGGATCAAACCCTTTCCGTTGTTCGTCAGTCAGAGGACGTCGTACAACGTAAAGTTGTATTTGTGAATGATTTATTACTTAAAATTGGCACGATGGAATATGTACAACTAAAAAGAAATGTCTTATTAAATTACAAACATGATATGATGAAATGAAAGGAAGTAGCCACCACTGACAACACAGAGCAGCAGGCATTAGTGCACCCATTATGTTGGTCCCTTCCATGAGGAAGTCATTGAGATGCTTAATCACATCAAGTCTCCGGTTCGAACGTAGTATCGAAGTTGATCTTCTGAATTCACCACAACCAGACGCCGCTTTACGGTATGTTCACCGCCCAGTGCCAGAAGTTGGTGCTCCACTAAAGTAAGTATCGAAATGATTTTCGTAGAAATTGATGGTCATGAAACTCAAACACCCAGACTAAGACTCCAAGTAGGCAGATAAGGTAAATATTTAGTACTAGTAAACAGATAAGTAATCAGATAGATAAGCAATACCCAGATTGAATGTGAGGTCACAGCGATTGATAATGAAGTTGTGGATGAGAAATGACTACAAATGAAAAAAGAAGCAAGGAAACCTTCGACGAAGCTCGAAAAAAATGTCTCCTTGAAATAAGAAAGGGGTGGGCCGGAGTTGTGCGACTTGCCTGCTCCACGGCCCAGCCAACCCGCTACGCCGTGATCCACGTTGCGTGTGTTGGGGTGTGCGCTACCTAACCCGTTCAAATGCTAAAATTAATCGCCAAAAACTGACTTTGTAACGCATTTTCGAGCCGCGACAATGGCACGTCTGCGGTGAGCTACTCTATCCCACCAACTGAATAGATTTCTCGACAAGACTTTTGCTGATTGGTTCAAACTGAGAGTATGTCAACAATGAATGCGTTAGAGTGAACCTACCACTGTGTCCAGGTCGATTTGCTAGCATGTGTGGTGGGATCCCAATTTGACTTGCAAGTTTGGGATCTGCTTCTAACGCACGACGGATTTCTTCAAGACTCAAACCACGTGCAACACGCTTGTCTGATGGGCAGCCTTCGACCGGTGGACATTTTGTCTAAATCGTATAAATACGTACACCAATTCATCCCTGGTAGCAACTATAAACTCACACTTGGACACGGCGCAAACGGACAAATGCGCACAAGGCACGAGTACTGTACATGAGGTGTGCTCTGATAACGGAATGACTCTACAGTGATCTAAAAATGCAAAACGACTGAAAAATGCATAAGGTGCTTGAATGGTCCTGAAGCACCACCTTTACGCCGTACTCCGATCGCTTAGGCGGACAAACTAGTCCTACGAGATCAGCCTGGCAACCTTCACGAATAATAGGCAGAGGTTCTCGTTCCCATTCGTACTTTGAATCGATCGGTTCTACCTGACACTCCTGGACCGACATATAATCCGCTAAACAAAATAAATACTTCAGAAATAGAAGCAGAACTTAGAATAATTGAAATAATTGGAGACTCTCTGCTCACGCGGAATGGCATAAAGAGGAGTGAATGACAACGTGATCTTGGTCCCAACGACGACTGCCTCAACAGGTTGTCCGTTGTGGAAAATATCAAATGAGACCGCACCCTTCGATGATTTTGATGATCCAGCGGCTCTGAAAACATGCTTGATTTTGAGAATTCTTTTGGGAAAAAATACAGAAAAAAAAACAGAAATTTCGAAATATGTCAGATGAGTGGGACTTCTATCGAATAAAGTGGGAAAAACATCTCAGACACCCATGTAACCTTTTTGCGCGTGTGCATTTTTTCGGATTTTTTATCTTTGCTTATTCCATAATTTGCACCTTAAAGGACGAATTCACGTTAAGAACGAAGGTCGAAGAAGGGGAAATGGCCTAGTTGGGAGACAGGCGGACCTCCTGAGGGTGCTGACCAACGCGCAATTGGCAGCGAAAGATTTGACCTCGGCGATCCAGCATGGCTCACTCTTGGCGCGGTTGGCGGGGTACGCCCACCGACTATCTAATCACTCGCCGCAGGTCTATACGTGGCGAGTGATTAGATAGCAGAGAGAGCGTAGTGTTGAAGAGGGCACAGCGATGAGAGTCGCATCAATGCGCAAATCAACGGGCAAGGAAGGGGTCCCATTTCTCGGGTTCTGGGCCGTTTCTCATGGTTTTTCCTTCTTTCGTGTACCACTCACCATCCTTTGAAATGGGTTGTTTTCAGCGTTTAATTCATCCTTTGAGTGTAGCCACAGGTGGTTCGCAAAATAGTCAGATATGTTCCTGTTGTTGACAAAACTTGAATGTCGTAACAACCAGACTCCAATGAGGAGCTTCACCGTCCTTCATTGATCCATTGTCAGAAAAGCTGTCTCAGACTCAACATTGAAGCTAATGCCAAAACAGTGCAAAAACCTCGTCAAATCATTCAGCTGTTCAGAGAGCCGCGGGTACCCGACAGGAGGCCCGTCGCACGGCAACAAGGCAGAGTAAGCTGAAGAGTCGCAACGCGTGATGTGCGATGTAGCACGTACAATGGTGCATTCTATTTAACTTGACGCGGAATTACTACAGTACGCGCTGCAACTCGTCCGCCGAAATGCGGTATCACCTACAGAATGGTGGAGAGGTGAAATAAGGGATAGTAGAGCATTGGCCAAGATGTACTAACAGAAAGCGTACATGAATTAAAGAGAGATAGTACGACAAATTGGCGCCGCCAATAATGAAAGTAGGAAGGCTAAACGTTGCCGCAGCGCGAGAAAAAAACAAGGCAAATGGTACAGGATCCGCGAAATGGGACCCATAATTTTCACTTTGATTAGTGACTAGACGAGTTATAGCTGCGCTATCAGCATTAAGCTCTGTTTCGAGTTTCTTCTAACAGGGGCTCAAGGTCTGACAGCCAGAAACCAGCTGCTGTCAAAAGTGGACAAAGGCACGAAGGTGTAGCGCCCTATTATACATGTATCTTCGTAATGACGCATTACTTTGCCCCTCAGGTGGCTACTTCGGTTCCTTCAGAAGCCAGTCTTCGCTGTAACAATAGGCACACTTCCCCTTATGCAACGTCCAGTTTATCGCGCCAACTGCCTCTAAGTGAAGATACGCTAATGCACGCACCGAATGGATGGTTTTCAAAGCCAAAAATCCTTGTTCACCAAAAAGAACCGGAGACCAAGAAAGTGGTCAAGGTGACAATTAGATGGTCATAATGGCCCCGCAGTAACGCGTTCTAAGATGCCGCGTTTCAGAGACTACCTGAAAACACCGAAAAATGACGCAAGGATGGGCCAAGGCGTGGCACACAAAAAGCGCTTACGACTTTGGAAAACTTGTGACGTGCGCTACAGTTTTCGGCAGAAAAGTTGGTTGTGCCAGCGAAGGAGAAGATGTCATAACTAATGGGGTACGAATGTGCGCTAAGGTAGGCAAGATATGCACCGAGGTGTGTTAGACGTGCGGCGAAAAAGCTAATGAAGCCAAAAATTTCAGTTTACAATTTCATACAGCGGAAACACTGTATCCTGCAAAATGGTTTTCTTACGCACGTGGTAACAACTTCGATTCGAAAAAAATCCGGTATGTGTGCTTTTGAGTGCTCCTGATCTAATACTTTGCAATCTAGTCATCTGCATTTACAACTGCACCTGGGTAAGCAATACAAACGTATATCATAAATATTTAAGGATGCATACTGCTTTCCGGTGCTGGGGGCCCAGCTGTAGAAATCTCCGGAGAGCGATTCAGTGAAACCTTGATGGTAGGTGGTGTAACAGTTGTGGATGTCTGCAAACAATTGAAACAAGGATCACCGTGAACGATGTAAAATCTCTTACTTTGAGTGGCTCGCACTTACATTTCCTGTAATCTACACCCACAATCCACTCACTCATTTCCTTCCGCATATCACCGCGTGTTCTCCCTTGTCATTTAGTGTCGTGCGCGCTCCGAGATCAGGCACGCTCACCTGCTCCCTACCCGCGCGTAGCAGAGGCGGACAAGAGTTTAAATTTGCTGCTGTTGTCCCCTTTTGCGACTTGAAAGTGCGCGACAAAGGCGCTGGGAGCTCGTCGACCCGCAATCCACACCTTCGTCCGCAAGCCCCACCCTCCGCTGTCGGTTGCCACGTGGCGCTGCTTGAAAAGCGCGGGCGCATTGAGGCAGCGGTCCCATTGCGGTTCCAATGTCATTGGCACTGGAGCAACTGGGCTAGGCTCGTGAAACTCGTCCAACACGCCCTTCTCTATCCCAAGGTGGAATGCGGCTGAAATAGGAGGTCCTCCTTCGAGGCGTAATCGGGGGTTTCTCTTGCTTTCCTTTTCTTTTCCAGACCACTCCTCACCTCTAGCTTCATTGGTGAACGCTCTTACACACCTATTCCATCCCAAGGTTTGCCTTTAACTGTCGGCTCATAAAATTTTATAGGATATCTAATACTGCAACCCGCATCAATAAAAGCTGATCATCGCTTGCCTCAGTTACTAACGCGCAGAAAACACTGAAGCATGCTAAAGGCCGTGCTGTAAATCACACTTTGGCCTTTAAATTCTTGAATTTAATTCCGAAATCGGAGAACAGCTAAGCTCTCAGTAAATCTTGGAAAGGTTCTTTCTGTACAGCAGAAGCTAGAGCGGCATTTATAACGAATTCGGCGAGAAATAAGACATTATGATTACATTTCTTGCCACCCTTAGCAATTACAGCATCTGAAGGCCAAGAAGTCTTCCTTCAAGAACATCTTTTCAGAAATGTCTGACTACCGCAAGTTTTTCACACCTCCGCGGTCATAATACAGAGTGAGCGCAAATTACGAAACGCGAAAATTATAAAATACATGACTAGTTCGAATCCTGATTACTAACACTACTGACTAAAGAGCAATGCCCAATATTTGCTGTCGAATCTACCCCGCCAACTTTGATGCGAGCTTCGATTCCCATAACAGGCATCCATCGAATGCAGGTGTCTTCAAATTCATCTTCGACTTTTCAAAAGCAGCCTGTAGTTATATGGGATTATTTAGTAGGCATCGGATCACTGCACTTCAGAAAGTTATCAGTTGTGCGGATTTTAAGATCATACTATTAAATCCTTGTTCACATCTCGAACTGAAACATGCATTGCTGTCAAAGAGATCGCAAATCCCTCGACAATGGCTCACGCAATGGCTGTTGAAAGCCCACGTTGCGCACAGAAAAGTTTCCTATATCTCAAATTTTTCGAAGAGCACTACAAACACAGTTTGTCCACTTTGCTACGCTTTTAGGAACGCCGGAACCGGTGCAGCTCAATCACCCTATGAAGATAAAGAGACGACCTCATCATTCTAAAAAAGTGCTTTTTCAAAGTTTTCTCCTAGAGAAGTAAAGAAATGCTGCATTATACA